GTGGTGCCGCTCGTGCCGACGCGGCCGCCACCCCGGTCAAGTGGGCGCACCCAAGCCAAGTCGCTCAGTGCCGCGTCGACACCCGAGGCGGGCGCCCCCCGCGTCCGGCGAGAGGGGGGCGCGTCCAAGCGGCACACGGTGCTTTTGCCGCAGATCTCGGCGCCCGACGAAAACAACGCGACGACGTTCATTACACGTATGCACGACGCAACACTCTGTATAGGGTTTTATAGCAGGCGACTAGATCTGTGGCAAAAGGCCGATGGGGAAGAGCTCCGTCCGCCGTCGCCCTTCGAGGACGAGCGCGAAGAGTCGACAGCCGTCGACGCCGACAACTACTTTGGACTCGACGCGCTCTCTCGCTTTTGGCGCATGTTTCAGCGGCAAGAGACAACCGCCCGCACCAAGCGGCCGCGCCCGCGCTCTGCTCGGTCTGCCTATCACATTTGACTATATTTGCTCAAGGTAGAGTGTAGCACCACGTACCTTCAGCGGCTCCAACAGCTGCACCGGTGCCCCGAGCCGATGGGGATCATCCGCAAAGGCGAGACGCCCAAGGTTGATTTGCAGTACGACACCGTTGTCGCCCACTTGTCTCTCTACGAGTATGTACGTGTAGCGCCTATGACATTGGCAGTGAGTTTGCGACCGCCATGGGCGAGAGCTTGGCGCTCATCCCGAGCATTGATACGCTCAACCTGGCGTCGAACCGCATCTCGGACGCAGCAGCCAGCGACGTGATCGCATCCATGGCAGCGTCGCCGACGCTGCGAGCCCTCGATTTCGCCGCCAACGACTTGGGGCTCCAAGCCGCGAAGGCGCTTGCGACGCTTCTCGGATCGACCAAGTCCCTTACGTCCATCAACCTCGCCCACAACAAGCTCAACAGCCGCGCGATCGTGCTTCTCTGCGATGGTACGCTTGCTTTACGGCGCTATGTCGTCAGTATGCGTAGCGCTCAAGAAGAGTCCGACCGTGACCCACCTCAACATTTCTGAAAATGCCTTTTCGACGCCTGGTACGTGGCAACATGGGATCAGCGCATGGAAGCGTGGTGTAGGCATGCTGGCGATCGCCAAACTCCTCGAAGAAAGCGCCAAGATCGAAGAGCTGTATCTTTCGTGGAACAAGATCCGCGGGATTGGCGCGCAGCGGATCGTCGAGGCCATCGGCTTCCACAACTCGCTGCGCGTGCTCGACTTGTCGTGGAACAGCCTCAACTCGTGCGCGCACCACGCCGTCGCCACCGCCCTCGCGGCCGCGCTGGCCAACAACAAGGTGCTCGTGCACCTAGATTTGAGCAACAATGGGCTCGACGTCGACGATTGCGCGATCCTCGCGAACGCACTTGTCGCCAACCACACGATCCTCGGGTACCTGCGCCTTTTGAAGGCCATTCGTAGTCTCGCATTAGGACGTAAACTTTCGATGCTAGGCTGCACATGGTTGGCAACCAAGGCTACGTTGACGCCCGAGGTATCGCCCTCTTTTTTGAAAATGATTGAGAATAAGTAGGGTTTGTCGTGCCATCGACCGAGCCGATGCACTTGCAGGCGCAGCACAAGGTGTCGAGCATTGCCCACTACGAACAGTATCAAGGGACGGACGAGAGTGCGTACGACCATTTTTGGCACTGCGTGGACCGCCAGTGCTGGCTCTGCGGGCGCTGGTCCGAGTACCGGTTTGTCTGGACGCCGCCGCACTCGATCGACCCAAAAGCCAAGGTGCAGCTCCATCTCTCGATCGACGACTGGGATGGCGACACCATGAGCCCGGCTGCGAACGATACGTATCTCCTGTACCGCATGCTCCCGCCAGGGAAAACGCAATACTTTATCACGGTCTCGACCGACATTGCTGTACGACTTGGACCATTGCGATAGTTGAATCATGGCGTGGGGTAGTCGTCCCTCTCGAGCAGTGGCGGCACGTCAGCGCTGCCCGCGAGCACGCGTACCGTGCGGCAGTTTTACACGATGAAGGACAAGCGAGCGTCCCGCATTCTTCGGCAACACGGCGACGAAGACATTTTTGGCACCCTTCACGTACACTATTTGTTGTGAACCCGAACCCTAGAGAATTGCGTAGTACGCCAACTATATCGCCATGTCGCGCTCGGACGACGCCAACCCGTGTCGCGCCACCATGCCGCGGCCCGGCTCGAATGCAGTCAAGGCACTCAAGTGGGACATCAAAAAGTCGGTGTTTGCATCGCGCGCCAAAGAGAGTCCCAGCAAAGCTTATGTACATCATGTACTAACTACGTTTTTTTCTAAAGCGTATTAGGTGGACACGGACATGCTGGTTGCCAAGGCGTTCCTTGTTGATTTCAAGCACTGCAAAATCGACCGCATCATTCGGGACGCACTTCGAAAGAAGGAGCTCGAGACGATCGGCGTCGTCTACTACCGCGTGATTAGGTACACGATGACATATTGTCCACATCTGAGACACGATTAAACTAGCAATTTGTACCGCACGTACTGCAACCGCGGGGTCCCAAGCCGGGGCACGGCCATGGACACGATATCGATTTCGTGGGCCGGGTTTCTCGAGTTTATCAATGACAGCAAGCTCGTCGACGAAACCTCGGAGCGCTGCAAGATGAGTGACATGGACAACGTCTTTGTCGCGGCCAACCTCGAGGTGACGGAAGAAGCAAAGCAGCAAGACAACCCGGACCGGAGCCTCACGCGCTTTGAGTTTCTCGAGTGCATCATCCGCATCGCGATCAACAAGTACGCGACGGGCAAAAGTGCGTCTCTACTAGCTCGAAGGATGCTTGACGGTACACTAGGTGCAGTGTGCGAGACGCCCGCGCAGGCGTTCGAGAAGCTCATGCAAGAGCACTTGGTGCCAATGACGCCCCAAGATAGCAATGAATTTCGAGCCAACTACCTCTACACGGAAGCCGTGAGCGACTGCCTCGTCGAGTATGTGGTCATGGTAGGACAATGTGTCCAATCTAGACTATGCATCAACACGATGTGTAGCTCAAGGACCTCTACCAAGACAACAGCGGCAAGTACTGCAAAGTGGGCGACGTCAAGGGCATGGCCATGCAAGAATTCATCAATTTACTGTACGCACATTGGATATTGTCTAGTATTTATGAGACACTTTCGTGCGTAGCGAGCAGTTCCACGTGTTTGACGACAAATTCAAAGTCCGCGACGTCCGCGAACCCTTTTTCGCGTCCAAAATGATGATCCTCGACGAGATGGCGTCCACGTCCCAGCGACGCATCATCTACTTCACCGATTTCCTTGAGCTCTTACTGCGCGTGGCGTTGCTGCGGTACCCGCCAGCGTCCGAGTCGGTGCTCGACGCCGTCCACTCGCTCGAACAGCTCTTTGTACAGCACTTTTGCGCCAAAGACCAGCTCGTCTCGACGTTTCGGAGCTCGGCCGAGAAGGCGATTGCAGCGCGGCTGCTCACAACACCTCCGACGTCGGCCCACGACGATCCGAAAGGAGCCTCGCCCCGGTCCCGTGGCTCCCGGCGAACGTCCCGAAAAACGCTGGCCGACGTGCCCAACATGAGCAGTGACGCCAGTGACAGCAAGCGAGGCCCGTCCCGATAGAAGTAGTAAGAATACCGTCCTCTCATTGTTGCGAATTGATACACCACCGTCCCGTTGTTCATTCCTCGCACTGGATCGAGCGTGGCGGGCGGATACCGATAGCTTGATAAGTTGATACTTGGACTTGTGGATACACAACACATACGAGCCGAGGATCGGAAGACACACGCGTGCGAGTCCGTCCTACTGCTCGCATCGTCGTTGTCCTTTTGAGATTGTTTCATACAACAAACAACGTGCCTCGACCGCACGCGCGCTTGAAACAAAGTCAGAACTGGACCTCAAGCCAGAACTGGTCCCTAGAGTCAGAACTGGTTCCGAAAGTGAGAACTGGTTTCCGGTCCACACACCTCGACGATCATTCAAGGTGCTGGCTCGTTCCACACCGGCGTGTCAAGAGGAATCTTTGTGGTTCTTCTCTTGGACAGTGTCGCCTGCATAGCTCTCTTTTAGCAAGATCGCGACAGCAACAAGCAACGGAATCAATCATCAAGGTGGTTAGTGTAGAGCACCAAAATGCTAGCGTGAGCGCTACGCGAGGCGCGGCGCGAGACCCATAATGTCGTGCAGCTCGGACAAGAGGGCGTCGTACGTCTCTCTTCGGCGCACGACGATCGGGTCGTTGGGCGCATTCCCCGATTGGCTCTCGACGTACTTGAGTTGACGCGCAGCCTGCTCCTGCTCGTAGTCGCCAAGGCGCGCATTGGCATCGTCCAGCATGCGGTGGAGCTCGTCGACTTGGTGCTTGAGCGCATCGACCTCGTCGCACGACGAGCCAGACGAGAGCGACGACGAGAGAAGTGACGTGCGCGCGCTGTGCACACTCGCGTGGGCGTAGCGTGCACAAAAATCATCGGCAAAAGACTCGAGCAGCGTCGCGTGGTCCGAGCGGAGGTCGTCGTCGTCCTCATTCCCGTCCTCGCATGCCGTCTTGGACACGTGGTGGTGGCGGGTTGACGTCTCTATTGCGGCTGTGAATGACGGCGGCTCCGAGCGCGGCGGCGGGGCGATCCCGGCGATGGCTTGCTTGATCGACGAGATGCGGGCAACGAGCTCGTCCAGCGGCACAACACCATGGCTCGTCTCATCGATGACCTCAGGAATCGGGCGCATCGCACGCTGGGACGGATACAAGTCCTCTAGCATCGCGCGCATGGGCAGTCCAAGCGACGCCTTCTTCGTCGTCGGTGGCGGCAGTTGCAGCTGCATGTCTTCCAGTAAGACGATGCTCTTCTTGTGGCGCGGTGCGATGCACGGGGGCGGCGGAACGGCGTTGGCTTTGCCAATGCACACGTTGCAGAGGCGGACAGGCAGTAGCCCGAGGACCGGCACGTCCAGCGTATGGTGGTCTGCACACGATGCGCAAACGACTTCGCCGCACGACCGACAGTGGTGCTTGCGACGAAAATGAAATGATTGTAGACAGACTGCGCAAAACTTGCGCTGACTGTCGGGCACCCAGAGCGCTCGGTCGACGATCGGCAGCTGACTCAGTCGGCGCTGGGCGACAAGCGGGCCAAGTGTGCTCAAGCACAAGAGGCGCTGGGACAGCGCGCTTTCCCACTTGTCCATGGGCACCTCACGCGGCGACGACGAGGACACGAGGTACGTCACGTGCACTATCTCGGGGGACGTGGCCGACGGCACAATCAGAAACCCGGTGCGGCGCAGGCTGTCGCGACGGTAGCCAAACGTGCTGAGCGACGGCACTTCGCGCGGCCGATCGATCGAGTGGTTGACGCAAAAGCCAATGTGTGGCCCGCCATTCGGCGGCATTTGAAGCCCCGCGTACTCGAGGAGGCAGTAGTCGCGGCCGAGCGCGGGCCCGACGTCGTCCTTGAAGGCGGTCCACTTGACACGCAGCTCGTTGTTGACGTCGTCGCACGCGACCGAGGCAAGCACAAGGCCATCGATGTACTTCTTCGCATGTATGCGATGCATCCATCGCCGCGACTCGTCCGTTGTGCTCGGTGCCACAATGGCGAGGACCTCGGCGACCGTCGCGCGGACGTTGATCGCGCCGCGCATGACGAGGCAAGGCTTGCCACCCCTGGCGTCGAGCTCGTCTTGCTCGATGCAGTGCACTTTGCCCACGAGCAGGCCGTCGCGGCTCTACGCAAGCGATGATAATGGCTTGCAGCGCACCAGCATCCTACCTCGCATCGCTTCCACGCATACGTGGCAATCGCATGCTGGAGGTCGTCGAGTGCGTAGCGCGCCACTTGGCGGTACGTGGCCGCGTCCGCGCTCGTGATGGCTGCCGTCGGAAAAAAGGTCGGCTTGACCGGCACCTCGAGCATCTCGCGCTGACCTTGCCGCCGCTATATGTCGCAAGCTATTCTTGCTTCAGTTTCGTTTTAGACGGATCTTGCGCATCATTTTATTCGTTTCTGGCCTCTTGACGGTAAATTACTATACTTAATTGAGTCAATGAATTGAATTGAGACCACCAGCTGGCCAGGTGGCAGCACGAGAATGAAGCTGACCACAAAGGACGCCCGCCACGACAGAGTCGCGCTAGACAGTGCAACGCAGCCACCATGGTGGGCCATGTTGGGTATCAATCCTACTCGCTTTGGTGGGCAGTGGTGGCGCCGACGACGGCGGCGGCCTCTAGGATGCGGGATACTGATGCGGGATGGGCACGCTGGTTGAGATGAGATGCAGTGCGCTCCACGTCGTCTTCACCTTCACGGTTGTCGGTTGAACTGGAACGAAGGCGTCATCTCGCGATTCACCGCGGGCGTCAGCTGCGCCAACGCCGCACCGATCACATCGCCACAAGTCGTATCAGGGCGCACCGTCGTGAGCCCAACCGGTTCGTCGCCGCTGCCGTCGTGATGGCTATCGGCTGGCGTTACGAAGGTTTTTCAACCCGCTTCGAATGGGAGGGTTCAAAGGCGAGTGGTCAGCTAACAACGACGACGTAGCGTCAGTGATTATACGCTGATTACAACTACGAATGGCAGCCGACGTCGTCGTGGTTGTACTGCTTACTGCTGCGACGGACTGGTGGCCTTGCTCGACTTTTGGCGCGACTGGACTTGCTCCAAGTCGAGCTCGCGCCGACGAATCTTTTTCGAGACCCACGGGTTCTGGCCTGTTTCGGTGCGCGACGGGTCTCGCCGGACGTCGGGCAGCACACCGATCGTACTGGGCGCCTCAATCCATGCGTCGGGCGACGACGTGAGCTGCGGAAACCACTCCTTCCGCAGCGCATCCTTGGCCGCGTCTGTCAAGTCGCCGCGGAGCGCCGGGAACCAGTCGATGAGTCGCTGGCACACGAGTGCGGTCGCGACCGAGAGATTCAAACTCTCGCTAAACCCAACCTGTTCGATTCAATTTCGACATGCTGATCGCCAGCGACGCGCCTACCGTCGGAAAGTAGATGCGGCGGTCGGCTTCGTGCAGCATTTCTTGGCTCACGCCGTCCGTCTCGCGGCCAATCACGATCGCGATGCCTTCCAGAGGAATCGTCAGCGTCGCCTTGTTCTCATGTGTCAAAGCTACGGCTTCCTTGGAGAGGTCCGTCGCTAGAGAAGATTGACATATTGTGAGCCCTGTATCCAAGAGGCCGTTCGTAGCATACCCCAAATGTGGCGTCCGTCGCGGCGCAAGGCTGCAATGCAGTCGGCGATCGTGCTAAAGTGCGTCACGGAGAGCCACGTGCCGCAGTTCTTGGAGACCTTTTTGGACCCGACTTTGTGGCGGTTCTTGATCTGCTCGTTGTTGGGATCGATGACATAGATGGTTTGGATGCCAAGCGCTACGCGTCGTGTTGCAGTGAGTCTTTTCTGACAAGAGGACGAGACTGAGGCACCTTCGGCCGTCCGAACCACGGCTTGGTGGTTGTGCGAGTCAACGCACTGCTCCAAGACAAGCAGCAAGCCATCTACATAGCAGTGCAATCGTCCCATTAGTCGCGTCTAGACGAGGGACATCCTCGCACGACGTACGCGTCCGTTGCTGCAGCACTGTCTCGGCACGCTGGAGCCGCAGCGACGCCGCGCCTTCCGTGCTCATGCTCCCAGGAATACGACGAACCAATGTCCGAATCGATGCCATTGGCTGAAATCGGACTATCGCACGCGTCTGATTGGCTACTACAAGGGCAATGTCAGAAAGGCCCACCGTTTCACGCGCGCGGGGCGAGCAGCGCTGTAACTCGCGGCAAACTCACAGCGCAGACGAGGATAAGTCACGAGTACGTGCGACTCGCAGCCTCGTATTATTACCGCCTGACGACACCACGACAACGACGCCCTTGTAAAGACACGGCCGGCGTCGTTGCCAACAGGGCGGGCATGATCGTCGCACGCTGCCGCATCACCATGCTCAGGAACAGAGGGGACGATGGGGTACCGGTAGCACTCTAGATGACGCCCCATTTGGAGAGCACATTGCTTGGTGGGTACGCTCGTGGCAGATCAGGTACCGCATAGAAACGATAAACGCGCAAGGCGTCGACGACGACGACGGCCCTGTCTACGAGGGTTGTATGAATGTGGGATATTGAAGGCACGGCGATCCAGCGTGGGTGACAACGTTGCGTGATCCGAGCGCACCTGCGTCGGCACCTGGTGACGACTGGCCGCCTTCTTTGTGGACGCAAGGATGCACGCTAGTCAACAAATTGCGTGCGCGTTCTCACGCGCGTGCAATAAAGAGGGGCATCATCAGCACACGCTTACATCAGAAACGTTCACACTCCCACGTCGCACCCGAGCTGGTTCCGAGATTCCCATGTGCATAAAGTCCCAAGAGCCTCGAGAGCGCAACTGCAGCGGGACATACGGACACGAAAGGTGGTGCGCATGACAGGCGAGACGTCACTTCTTATTGCAGTGGTTTCCATCAGGTGAGTCTTCGCGGACGAGCGGCTCTTTTCATTTCCCATTTCCCTTCCGAGCGTCCACATGAGCAGTCCGTGCGCCTTCAACGCTGCCAACGTGCAAATCCTCGAGATGGACCTCTCCCTGGTACACGATGGTGCGTTTGCATCCAGCGCCTTTGACGCGGCCTTTGTCACGCTTCACGCCGCGCATCCGACAACGTCGTGGATAGCCCTCGACTCGATCAACCTCTCGTCATCGAGCGTCTCCAAGAATGCGCCAAACACACCGACAAAGGCACACGCGCCACGCCGTGCATAATCGAGATTTCATGTGTAAGTATTTATGATTTCCATTCTTTAAATAAAGTGGTGTGTCGTTTCTTGTTGGGATACTTTGTACAGGTTGTCTTCGAGTGACAAGGTTCACGCTGCCCAATTTAACACGGCTTGGCCATATTGTACTGCAGTAGGCATTGGCCTTGTTGAACGTCGTGGGCTTTGTAATCTTGTTCATTTGGCACCGAAGGACAGGATAGCAATGTATCAAGTTGGACTTTGCACTTCCAACTTGTTGCTGTGCTGTTGGACGTCTCCCGTAAAGACGTTTAATGATGGCAAGATTGGAAACGAATTCCTGCCATGATTGTACCGGTGCCACGACCTAGAAGTACCCTAATTCCTGGCGCCAAGGGCCCTTCATTGCGATGCAGCGGCCAATGTGACGTTGCCGTGTTTGGATACTGTGCAACGTACGCTTCGCTAAGATTCTCGTGACGCGAGACTGCCACGTACCGCACCCGTGTAATCGCATAAGATATCGAATGCCAGAGGTTTTTAACGTTGCGTGCTGACAGCAACGGCATTATCATATCCGGCCGTCTTATCCGGATACGCCGGCAACCAATTCATTTTTACCGACAGCGACGCGATGGCACGCGGGGTACGCCGCCAGCTCGGCCATGGAAGTCCAGCCGAGCTCATGCCAACTCTCTTGCACGTAGGAGCCGTCCAAGAAGCGCAAGCCCAATGGGCCGGTGATCCCAAAGCCCTGCTCGCTCCCCGAGGCAGAGTACAAGCCGTGCTTTGTCTGTGGGCTCAAGTTCAACGTCGACTCGCTCATGCGCTGCTTGGTGTGCGCCGGCTTCTTCCACAAGCGCTGCCTCGCCACGATCACTGGCGACACATTAGGCTGCGCCGCGTGCCAAGAGGCCCGGATAGCCGAGAAGAGGCTCCAAGCCGAGCGCAACGACCCGGAGATGTACCCGTCCGTCACGAGCGATACGAACAAACACCTCTTCGAGTACCGCATGACCATGATGCACAAGTTTATGAGCGCGATCGCGGCTCACAAAGCGCCGCCAAAGAAGAGAGGCAAGGTGCCCACCAAGAGTTCGGCGACACCCAAGGTTTGCGCTGACGACGACGAGCAAACGCCGCCGCCGTTCGATCCGCCAGTGCAAGCGCCAGCGGCTGATGGCGCGTCGATGGCCGATGTCGACATGGGCGCACCGGCAGCGCCTTTGATCAATGTTCCACAGCCTTCGGGGCCAATGATCGTGGCACGGCGAGACGCCTCTGTCGTCGACATTCGCTCCGAAAGTGCACGAACGCTGAGCCCTGCCTTGTCCGCAGATGTGGTCCCATCGGCTCCACGACCAAGTGCTCTGACGCTGCACACGGCCCACAGCGAGCAGCCGTCGCCCGCGTCGTTGGTGTCGCCTCGGGCGTCGCTGGTGTCTCTAGCGTCGACCGTTAGCCCAATCGTGAGTACAACGCTGGTCCTGCCCAAGTACGTGCTGGAGCAAACCGCGAGCGCGGTTGCGACGACCTCACATGCAGCGATGCACTTGTCGTCGACCGGTGTTGGAGTGGCGACGGAGGTCGTTCATGAGCCGGGTAGCGTCATGCTAGACGAATGTCTCGTGTAAAACAAAATCCAACTACGTTTGTTGTACAAACTGTCTTCGATGCAAATCGACCTGCGAAAATGCGATCTCTTGAGATGAATTGGTGCGTGGGCCGTGTCGTTTCAGAGGTGTAGGCTCTGCAGCTGGTGGTTTCAACGCGCAAATAGCCAGGCGCCACGCAGTCGTATGAGCGCGCTCGCGATCGTGGCCAACCTCATCGTGCCGGGCGCAGGCCTCGCAATTCACTATTTGCCGCAAATTGCCACCTTCTTGGCCGGCATCAACGGCCGCTGCGACCAGCTATCTCAAAACCAAGCGCACTTTGGCCGTGTCCGGGACCGCCTTCACGAGATCTTTACGCAGCTCTCAACGATGGAGGCGCGTGGGCAGCTGCCGTCGCCGGTCGTCGTCAAGCGGTTCCGCGAGCTCCTCGAGGACTTTGACGCGTACTTGACGCACTATCTGAGCTGCAACTTTGTGACGCGCCTCCTGACACAAGAGAACGTGGCCACCAAGATTGCAGTCTACCACAACGAAGTCGATAGTCTTCTCAAGCTACTGGACCTCGCCCATATTGCGCAAATGACCGACTGGCGACTGCAGTACGACGCCGACCAGCGCGAAGAGGTCGCTCGCTGGACCGACCTTGTGGCGACCAACAAACTCGTGCTCGAGGCCTGCAGTGATGCGAGTGCGCAGCGTGAGACGATGTTGCGCCTTCTCCACGCGCTCCAGCACGACAAACACACGCAGAGCAGCAGTAGCTTCCAAGCCAAGCTCGTCAAGCAGGCGTTCCATACACTCCAGCGGCTCTCCAAAAACGTCGTGCTGGGCACCGCATCGGTGCCGAATTGGTTTGTGCCACCGGAAGACGTAGCGCTTTCGCCCCAGCCCTTTGCGCGTGGCGCAACGAGCGACGTTTTCCTCGGTGTTTGGCGTCAGCGCACCAAGGTCGTCGTCAAGGTCTATCGTGCGAGCAGCGATGACGTCGAGACCGAGCTGTCATTGTGGGCCTCTCTTCGCCACCCAAATTTGGTGGCGTTCTATGGCGGCTGCCACGTCGGTGCCAAGCCGTTTGCACTCTGCGAACAAGCAACCGATGGCGCGCTCGACGACTACCTCTTGCATCATGCCGGTACGTCGCATTTTTATCTGATACATCTTTCAATGTATCAATTATTCATTGTTTGATTTCGGAATACTATGTTGATAACTATGGGTAGGCACTGTGGACGAGACGCAGCTCTGGGGCTTTTTGCTCGATATTGCGATCGGACTCGAGTACATGCACAGCGTCGGCGTCGTGCACGGCGACCTCAAGTGCAACAACATCCTCGTGTCGGTATCGCCACTGCGTGCACAGCTTAGCGACTTTGGCTGCGCCTTCAACACCATCCACCCGCCCGTGCCCACGCGCGTGTCGGCAGCCATTCGGTGGGTTGCGCCAGAGTGCCTCGTCGATGCGGCACCGCCAAGCCGAGCGTCGGACGTCTACGCTCTCGGAATGGTCCTTCTCGAAGCCGTGACGCTCGACATTCCGTTTAGCGATGTCAACGACGATGAAACAGTTAGTTTTCATGTTCGATTTGATTATTTTCGAGCTCATGGACATGGGTAGGTACGGGGCCGCATTGCCCGAGGCGAGCTCCCGACGCTCGACGAAACCTCACCGTATGCCGTGCTGGTTCCGCGGCTGTGTGCGCTGTCGCCGGACGACCGGCTCGACTTGTCGGCGTTCATCCTCGAATGCGAGGCGCTGCGAGACGGTCCCGCCAAGACGGTATCGCCGCGTCCAGAACCGAGCTGGGTGTCGACTGACATGCCACTTGCCACCTCCACGGCACTACTTGGTACTGCTGATGACGCAGCACCGTCACCAGCTGCGACGACAACGACATTGCGAGAATACGGCTATGGCATTGCGGCCGACAAGCCCCGCGACACGAAAGCAGCCAAAAAAGCTAAGCACGCGCGACGTGTCTCGACACGCCGCCTCTCCATCTCGGACGTCGACGGCATCGTCGCGTCCCAGGACGTACCGTCGCTTTTGCAGTGGTTGCAGCGACCAACGACGTCCGACATCATCCAGGAAAAGCTGCTCACTGCACTCATGCCACTGGCGCCAGCATCCGTGGCCGACCACGGCGGCCTCGAGCTCTTGCTCACGCTCGCAGCCAAAGGCAGTACACCGACGATCAAGGAGCTGTCAACCGCGCTCCTTGGACTAGTTGTGCAGCGCAATGCTGGCCTCGCCGCCACGGTCCGCGCCCAAGGCGGTGTCGCCATCTTGCTCAAACTACTCCGTCAAGGAACGTACGGGCAGCGTGCATTTGCGCTTCGAGCGCTCGCGCACCTCACGTCCATGGACGACGAGGCGATTGGCCAAGTCCTCGATGACACAACGAGCGTCACGATGGTGCTCGACATGCTGCGTGTCGGCGGCGACCGGCAGCGCCAAGATGCCTTATGCCTCGTGGCCAACGTGTCGGTGCCACCCGCCCAATCGACCATGGTACCGGCCCTCGCAGCGCTTCTTCCATCGGTCGAGTCCATGGCGTACGACACGCAGCGGCACCTGTTTCGCTGGATAGCCAACCTGGCCGATGCCGCTGACGCCGACAGTTGGACGCCGTGCATCGAGAACGTCGTTGCTCTTGTCGTGACGCAGACTCGGATTCATGCCAAGACACCGGAGATGTCGTCGCTCCTTCTCCAGAGCCTCGGGCTCCTCGCCTTTGCCAATGACGCGTACGCCGCAACGATTGTAGATGCTGGTGCAATTCCGCTGCTCTGGAAAGCTTATAGCGCCTGGCCCGACCTCAGAAATCTGATCCTCGGCACGCTTGCCAATGTCGCAACGACCGAAGCCAGTTGTCGCCAAATCGCACGGCACCGCGGCCTACAATGGGCGGTCGAGGCCGTCTTGGACCCGGCGCTGGTGACGTCGGCGATGCACTTGCTGCACAACTTGAGCTTGGAGTCGTCGATCGTCGAGCACATGGCCAGTCTCGATGCTGTCAACGTCACGATGACGGCACTGTTGAAGCACCCGGAGCTCGGTGGCCTAGGTGCCAAGCTCCTCGCCCAGCTGTCAATGGCGTCGCCCCGCGATGCTCTCGCCTCGTCGGGCGCGGTCGCTTGGACACTGGAGCAGCTGCGAACACAACGGGACGTCGATTTGACGCCGCTGTGGATCTGCTTGAGCAACGCCGTTGCGGCGTCACCGTGTCTCGACACGTTTGTTCGTCTCGGCGGCGCGCCGCTGCTGATCAAACGACTCGGCAAAGCCGACGTCAATCAAGTGGTTCCGATCCTCCAGCTTGTGCTGCACATTGCCACGTCACTTGAGACAGTACTGCTGCTCGTTCAGCACGACACGGCACTGTATACGCTTATGGGCCTCGTCGAGTCGTCGTCGTCGGAGGTGCAAGTACTCGCGCTCGGCTGCGTCGCACAAATCACATACTTTGAACCCACCGTATTGCGTGCAGTCAAGGGCAGCGGCCTCGGCATCCTCGCCCCGCTGCTCAAAACATCGCTGCACCAAGAGCTCGCGCTGCGCATCATTAGCCACATGTCGTTTTGCCCGTCGTTTCACAACCTCCTCACCGTCGAGTACCCCATCGTGGCCACGCTGCAAAAGCTGACGCGCAACCCAGCGCTTCATTCGATATGCGATGCGATCTTAACGCGACTCGAAGTCCCCCTCACAAGCTCGTACAAACCTTCGCTACTACAAGCCTTGGCCAGGAAGTGGCGAAGGGCCAAGCCCGCGTCCAACCAAGAATCGGACGACGACCAGCGCTTGGTGCGCGCGCTACAACAGGAACGGCCGCGGGGCCTAGTTTTGGTCCGTATCTACGATGCCATTGTGTCCGATAGCCAACGAGCCGATGCGTTGATTGATGCGGGGCTCCTGGCGCCGCTCGCCCAGCGGCTTCACAGCAAGCGGGATCGAAGCATCGCCCTCGACATTGTGCGGCGGCTGCTCGACGACGCCTCCGAGACGCGCCAGAAAGCGTTGGCGGTCGACATGATGATCAAGCCGCTGATTGCGATGGCGAAGGAGCACGACCGGCCCGACGACCGCGACAATGCGATCCAGCTCGTCCTTGCACTCGCGGCGCTTTGCAACATGCAGACGCAAGTGGTCGACGCGATCTTGCCCCACGACGCACGCAGCAGCATTGCTCAAAGTCTCTTGACGCATCCCTCCTCATAGTGTCAAACAACCGGTTTTGATTGGTTTTTGGAGTTGAGCCAGGTGCAGTGACGTGGCGGCCGGACAAGCAAGCAATCGAATGCTATTACGTAAGTCGCCTGAATACTTATGGCAACAAAATACATTGCTGTCGACAAGCCATGGGTGCCGAATAGCTCTACGCTACAGGTGGCAACTCGAGGCTGAGCGCCTGGTGTTGTCAGTCTCATGTTGGGTCGTTCCGGCCGTGTCGCTCTCACACATACGCCTGAAATTAGCCCTTCTTGACAGATAGTTAATGCTTGCTTGATGTCCATTGTACATACGGTACTGTATCGATGCTTGTTGCTTGTGTCGTTGGGCGTACCAGTATGTACTTGACGTTAGTGCTGCTTCGTGTCTCTCCATCCGGTAACACGGACGTGGCAATGCACGGGTCGTCCGTCTGCAAGTACATTGCGCTGCGGCCACGCCTAGGCGTCACTGCAGTGCACATTTGGTGCTAACAAAAAATTCCCTCGCACTTTTACACCCTTGCCCGGCATGAAATTGTAATGCCACACTTGGTCCCTGTTGGGTTAGCCAGCAACTGCACCACCCGGTCGACCAACACAATACCACTGTCAAAAGGGCGTCACCCCATCATTCCAACGCAAGAGTCCCGATGGAGACGCCCAGCACGAGCGCATTCGAAGTGCTCTCCGCCCACGACGAGCCAAAGGAGGCTGTCACGCCCCGTCGGCGCTGGCCGTGGATCGTCGCCACAGGCAAGGCTGAGGTTGCCGACGCTCGCTCACAGTCTCATGCATGTACTGTAGTAATCCTTGCAAGCAGCACTCTTGCGCTCACCATCGCGCTCTGCACGCAAGCCGAGGCGACCTCAGGACGTGTTACGGCGACGATTCTTATGGTCGGCGACTCCAACACGGAGCTCGCGGCCAACCCCACAACGCAAGGCTTCCAAGCGCTCCTCTCGTACGATTACAGTCGAACCGCTGACGTGATTAACCGCGGCGTGAGCGGGTTCACGTCCAGGTACGCTCGCTCCACGCAAGTATGCATGAAGAGCGCACATGGGATGCTAGTCTCTGGGTTGCACGCCTCGATCAGCTCATCGCCGAGTGGTCGCTGAAGCCACCGAGCCTAATCACGATCATGATCGGCACCAACGATGCTGCGCTTCCGAACTCGACGCTGCATGTGCCGATCGAAACGTATGCCGCCAACCTTCGCACGCTGGTGCAGCGCCTCGGCTCGTCGTTTGCCAGCACCAAGTTCATCCTCCTGACGCCACCCGTCGTCGAGAGCTCGGCCCACTGGAACTACGTTTTTCAAAACAGCGCCGCAGAAGCGTACGCGAATCGCTGCAAGCAAGTCGCAAGTGATCTTAACGTGCCCGTCATCGACCTCTGGACGCCGCTGCAAGGCGTACCCGATGTGCTCTACGATGGCCTCCACTTGACAACGACGGGCAATGTGTTCGTGCACCAGCAATTGCTCGCTACGATCGAGGCGTCGTACCCGGAGCTCGCCCCCACCAAGCTGTCGCGCGCATATAGTAACATGCCTTGAATATAGCAAGTTGTTTCTTGGTGACGAAAGATGAACGCAACGACTCTTGGCGTGTCAAAATGCGTTTTCGAATCTGCAAAAACTTGCAGAATCGGGGCCAAGAATACAAGTGGCGAGTGCACCCAGATCTGACTCCTGAATACGTTCATCACGGCCAGTATCCACCACATAAGAGCTTATAGGTCTATGATGCTAGCAACTGGATCGCGCACCTCGACCAGCTCCTTGCCGAGTGGTCGCCCAAGCCGCCGAGCCTC